AAAAAAAAAAAAACTCAAAAGAAAAAGAAGTCAAGAAATGGAAGAGAATTTTAAAATTTTTTCTATTTTTATTATAAGAAATTATTGAAGTCGAAGTCAAGAAAAAGATACTATGTAAATGGCAAAATAAGACATCAAAAAAGCTTTCATAAAATAAAAACATGATGACTTAAATAATTCAGTAGAAGAGTCAGAAGATAAAACAGAAGAAATTTTCCAGAAAGTAGGACAAAAAGACAAAGAGATAGAAAACATGAAAGAAAAGAGACACAGATATATCCAGGAGGTACAGTTTACAGGTATTTCAGATAGAGAAAGATAAAAATCAGAGAGAAGGAAAGAATCAAGTGAACTTTTTGATTTTTGCATCAAAATCTCCCAAAGGTTAAAGATAGAAGTTTCCAGATTGAGAGGATCTACGAAGCAAACAGCACAAAGACTTTTAAAAGCCTCACATCTTTGCAAAATTTCAGAATACTGGGAAAAAAAGGAAAGATCCTAAAAGTTTTCGGAAAGAAAGAAAAACACTGCTCATGAAAGAACAAGAATGAGATTTTGTATCACCAATACCAAATGCTAGAAGACAGGTGAGATATACCTTCATATTTCAAACCGAATGACCACTAAACACAATTGAATGATGGACTGACAAGAAAACAAACAAACAGTTGTAGTGAAGGTTATATGAACAACTGGAAAAATAAATGTGGGTTATATATCAATTAGATGCCAGTATTTTATCTATATTAATTTACTGGGTGCAATAAGTGTATTATAGTTATGTATAAGAATGAATGTCTTTGTTCTTAGGATATATACTTTGGAGTGAATTGATATGGTATCTGCAACTTTCAAATAATTCAGAAAGATTGTGTGTGTGCGTACGTGTGTACACATGTACACACACACACACGTGTGTAGACAGAAAGAGTTAACTCAGTGTGAAAGAATCTTAATGACTATGAATCTATGTGAAGGATATATAGGTGTTCTTTGCACTATTCCTTCCATTTTTTTATAGATTTGATATTTTTCAAAATGGTACGTGTGTACACATGTACACACACACACACGTGTGTAGACAGAAAGAGTTAACTCAATGTGAAAGAATCTTAATGACTATGAATCTATGTGAAGGGTATATAGGTGTTCTTTGCACTATTCCTTCCATTTTTTTATAGATTTGATATTTTTCAAAATGAAAAGTAAGGAATTTGAACAAATTACCAATACATAACAAAGCTGGAAAGGAAAATAAGAAATAATTTATATTTTTATTAATTTTTAATTTTAAATAATTCTGAGAGAAGAAAAGTAATACAGAAATCTATAACCAGCTAAACAATTAGTCAGGTGAAAGGGTTGATTAAATATTCAGACATACTAAAATACAGAAAATTTAACTACCACACACTTTTTCTTATAAAATTACTTGAAAATGTGCTTCAGCAAAATGAGGGATTAAACCACAAGAGAACATAAGGAATCCAAGAAACAGAGGATATAACCCAAGATAGCAGTGAAGGGAAATCCAGAATGACAGGTATACAACAGGCCTAGTGATAAACCTGTCAAGATTAAAGAGGGAGGATGAAATCCTTTATAAGAGAGATCTCTATTAATAGAAGTGGAGCCTGCCAGATTACATCATATGAAGAGTTTAGAAAAGAAATGTTCGATTTTCTTTGATAAAGAAAACCAAAGGCAAACAGAAACTCCAGGAAGAGTAAACAGTTGTACGAGAAAAGAAATAGTATAATACACTATTTGGCATGGTGTTGAACAATATTTAAAAGTCAGAGCTGATAGATTATGACCACAAAATAGGTCACTACAAAAAAATGTACTAAACACAAAGAAAGGCAGTAATGCAGGAAATGAGGAACAAAAAGCATTCAGACAAACAGAAAACAAAATTATAAAATAGCAAAAGTAAGTGCTAAATAAAAAACACAATCCAACTATATGCTTTTTACATGACTCATTTTAGATCTAAGGTCATAGATAGGTTGACAGTAAAAGGATGGAAAAGGTATTCCATGCAAATAGTAACCAAAAGGGAGCAAGATTGGCTATTCTAATATCAGTCCATATAGACTTTAAGTTAAAAAAAAACTGTTACAAGAGACAAGGACATTATATAAAAAGGGCCAATTCACAAAGAAAATATAACAATTATAAACATATATGCACAAAACATCAGTGCTCCTATGTATTTGAAGCACATATTGACAGAATTGAAGGGAGGAATAGACAGCTCTACAACAATAGTAGGAGGCTTTAATACCTCACTATCAGGAATGAATAGAACAACCAGACAGAAATCATCAAGGCAGGGGCCAACCCCATGGCTCACTCACAGTGGCGCTCCTGCCGCAGGTTCGGATCCTATATAGGGATGGCCGGTGTGCTCACTGGCTGAGTGCGGTGCGGGTGACACCAAGCCAAGGGTTGCGATTCCCTTACCGGTCACAAAAAAAAAAAAAAATCATCAAGGCAGGAGGGCTTGAACAACACTATAGACCAACTGGACCTAACAGACATATATGGTCATGCACCATGTAAAAATGTTTCTGTCAATGAGGGACCACATATACAACAGTGGTATAGCCAAGGAGTGAAAGGCTACAACATATAGCCTAGGTGTGGGGCAGGCTGTACCATCTAGGTTTGTGTAAGTACACTCTACATTGTTCATACAATGACAAAATCACCTAATGACACATTTCTCAGAATATATCCCCATTATTAAGTGACATATGACTGTCTAGAACACTCCATCCAACAATCAGAGACACACTTTTCACAAATGTATATAAAACATTCTCAAGAAGAGACCATAGGTCCCAAAAATGTTTTATAAGATTAAAATCATGCAAAGTATCTTTTCTTTTTTATTTTTTCCTTTTTTGTCTTTTTTACTGACCAGTAACAGGATCGCAACCCTTGGTGTCGCGCCTGTACCAGGGACCGGCAACGGGATTGCAACCCTTGGTGTTGCGCCCGCACCGCGCTCAGCCAGTGAGTGGGAACCGGTCTCCACATGGGATCCGAACCCTCGGCAGGAGTGCCGCCGCACTCCCAATCGGCGCACTCTCCAGTGCGCCACCGGGCCGGCCCCAAAGTATCTTTTCTGATCACAATAAAATGAAACTAGAAATCAACAGTAGAAGGAAAACTGGAAAGTTCACAAACACATACTCTTAAATTAAATAAAATACTCTTTTTTTTCCCCCCTTTTCGTCTTTTTTTTTTCGTGTCTGGCAACGGATCACAACCCTCAGTGTCGCGCCCGTACCGGACCAGGACCAGCAACGGGATCGCAACCCTCAGTGTTGCACCCGCACCTCGCTCAGCCAGTGAGCGGGAACCAGTCTGCATGTGTGATCCGAACCCTCGGCGGGAGCACCACCGCACTCCCAAGCGGCGCACTGTAGCAGTGCGCCACCGGGCCGGCCCTAAATAAAATAATCTTAACCAGTGGGTCAAATAATCAGAAGGAAAATTAGACAATATCTTCAGACAAATAAAAATGAGCCAACTGGCTGGCCCTATATGCTCTTACATGTAGAAAACTCTAAAGATCCCACCAAAAAACTGTCAGCACTAATAAACAAAAATCAGCAAAGTAACAGGATACAAAGTGAATACCAAAAATCAGTTGCATTTCTATATATACTAACAATGTACAATATGAAAAGAAAATTAAGAAAACAACTTCATTCCCAATAGCATCAAAAAGAATAAAATATTTTTAAAAAAAATAAAATATTTAGGAATAACCAAGGAGGTGAAAGACTTGTATAACAAAAACTACAAAACATTGCTGAAAGAAACTAAAGAAGACACATATAAATGGAAAGACATCCTCACTCATGGATAATAAAATACTCTTAACCAGTGGGTCAAAGAATCAGAAGGAAAATTAGACAATATCTTCAGACAAATAAAAATGAGCCAACTGGCTGGCCCTATATGCTCTTACATGTAGAAAACTCTAAAGATCCCACCAAAAAACTGTCAGCACTAATAAACAAAAATCAGCAAAGTAACAGGATACAAAGTGAATACCAAAAATCAGTTGCATTTCTATATATACTAACAATGTACAATATGAAAAGAAAATTAAGAAAACAACTTCATTCCCAATAGCATCAAAAAGAATAAAATATTTTTAAAAAAAATAAAATATTTAGGAATAACCAAGGAGGTGAAAGACTTGTATAACAAAAACTACAAAACATTGCTGAAAGAAACTAAAGAAGACACATATAAATGGAAAGACATCCTCACTCATGGATTAGAAGACTTAATATTCTTAAGCTGTCAATAGTACCAAAAGTGATCTACAGATTTAATGCAATCCCTATCAAAATCCCAATGATGTTTTCTGCAAAAATAGAAAACCCACCCTACAATTCATGTGGAATCTCAAGGGACCCTGAATAGCAAAAACAATTTGAAAGAGAACAAAGCTGGAGGATTCACACTTCCTAATTTCAAAACTTATTAAAAAACTGTAGTAATCAAAACAGTGTGGCATGGGCATAAAGACAGACACATGGACCATAGAATAGAATAGAGAGCCCAGAAATAAACCCTCACATACATGGACAAATAATTTTTGACAAGGGTGCCAAGACCATTCAATGGGGAAAGGACAGTCTTTTCAACAAATGGTGCTGGGAAAACTGGGTATTCCCATGAGAAAATGAAGTTGTACCCTTACCTAACACCATATACAAAAATTAATTCAAAAGGGACAAAAGACTTAAAATATAAGAGAATGGATAAACAAGATGTGTTATATACATTCACTAGAATACATTTAGCCTTAAAAAGGAAGGAGATCCTGACACATGGATGTACTTTGAAGACACGCTAAGTGAAATAAGTCAGTTACAAAAAACAAATACTGTTTGATTCCACTGACATGAAGTGCCTAGGATAGACAAACTCACAGAAACAGAAAGTAAAATGGTGGTTGCCAGGGTATGGGCATGGGGGGAATGGTGAGTTTCCTTTACGACCACAAAAAAGTTCTAGAAATAGATGGTGCTGACAGTTGCAAAACAACGTGAATGTATTTATTGCCCCTGAACTGCACACTTAAAAATGGTAAAAATAGTAAATTCTGTTATGTATATTTTGCGACAATTAAACACACAAACGGATAACCTGCATGGGTTACATGGTTAGGGAGCTGAGAACCCCCCCAACCCCCCTACTCCAAAGGCAGGAGCGCAAGTGTGTGTACTGCCAGGGAGTTCACACCTCCAGGACTGTCCATCCCAGCATCCTCCCAGGAACGTCCTCTTGTGTGAGGAGGCAACTGGGAAGTGTGGGGGTGGGGGTGGGGGTGGGGGTGGGGTGCACTGCGGTTAGTTTACCCCACACCCTTGCTCTAACTTGGCTACCTAATGGCCTGGTGACCTTCCTCGAGTCTCTTTGACTTTCTCCTACTTCCACCTCCCACACTCCCTTAACCCATTTTAAGTGTACAATTTAATGTTGTTTTTTTTTTAAAGCACACTTAAGAGCCGTGCAACCATCGCCGCAGTCCACTTTTAGAACATTTCCATTACCCGACTTAGCCTTTCATAGCTCCTGGTTCATCATCTATAAATGGCGATAATATGAACCTAACACATTATAGGTCACCAACAAATGATACCCATAATTAGTATACTCGGTGATGCCATAATTTGAGGTTATTATCTGCTCCAAGACACGGCCCAGTCGTCGCGCACCCGGCATCGCGCACGCAGAAGCTTACACTGCGGGTGGGGAGGTGGGTCCCGAAGGCCCAGCGGGGCGCTTCTGAGCACGGCCCCGCCCCACCGCCCACCCAACACCAGAACAGCCACGCCCGCAGCCTGCGATCGGGGGATCGGGCCTCTCCCCGGCGCCCTGGCGGCGGCTGCGGGCGGGATTGGTGACGCCTGGGCGCTGCGGGCGCCTGCGCAGTGGTGAGGGCCGCGCTCGTGGAGAGGGGCTGCAGGA